AACCCGCCCACAAAGTAGGTGGGCACCACCTTGGAAATGCAGGACCAGGGCCTAAAGCGACCGCACAGAGCCCTGGGGGCCAAGGATTACCAGACCCTATATCTCTTTCTGGTTAATAGTTTGGAATCTGCTGGAGATGGGGAGACAGCAAAGGAATTTAGTGGGGGGGAGGGAGACAGAAACGGTGGATGTTTCATCCCCTCCTCCGCCTCCACCCCCTCAGCCCCATCCCTCTGCAGGCGGCTGCGCACTGGTCTGGCCTTGGGAGCGGTGGGACATGTCCCTCCCATGCCTCCCTTAATTAGGAGGAGGCCAAGTTTTGTGGTCCCCTCCTACCGGGCTTGGTTTAGTAATCACCCCCACATGAGTCACGACCAACCCTCAGCCTCTCCTGCTCCGGTGACGACTGGCCAGCATACTCTAGGTTGTTGGCCCTTTAAAACTCTAATCCAAAGGAGTAATGATTTATCAAACTCATATTATCAAGAAGATGTCAACCGAAGGGCACCTTGCCTTGCACTGACGCAAACCTGGCCTTTCCCAAGGAGCTATAGAAAGCGCCTCTGCTGCCAGAGCCAAACCTAGCCTGGTCAATAGCGGGTTTCACTGCACGGGTTCATCCTCTTGCCAGTGTCAGACATGGTAAGTGTTGGCTTGTGTTCTAAGGGGAAGGGGACTTTTGGGTTAGGAAGCGTGGGCTCGTTTTGGGTATTTCTTTTTGAAAAGTCCATACATTTGTGCACAAGAGAGCAAGGAGGACAGCTCTCACAGCCGTTGTTGTATTTGTGTTTGTGAGGGTCCCCCTGAAGTCTGAAAGGTTTCCCAGGCCCTAGAACTGAAGGGTCTGGGCTCCCTAGGACAGCACCACCCCCGAGCGCTATCCGAGGTGCTGAAAAGCCGGGCGCCGGTATTCAGCAGGATCGCTCTGGACCCTGCGGACTAACAGACAGGAACGCTGTCTGGAGTTGAGGTATTTACATTGGGTGCAAATGAAAGAGTCCTGGTCTGTGCATTTGTGAACGGAGTTAGAGGAGAAGCTCCAAGCTCAGGTGACGGTACTGTGATTATTCTCACAGTGTAATAATAATTGTTTGGATTCATGGGAAGGAAGCCTTGAAAGACTGAGGAAAGAAAGCGGACGGAAAAATCCACAGCTAATGATTATGATTCTTTGTCATGTGAGAGTCAATCAGAAGAAAGCAGATGAAAATTATTCACGAGTTTTTGTCCCTAGTCAAGAAGAGGGACATGGAGGATATTAGACTATGTGGAGGGGCCAGCAAAAACAAATGAAAAACGTTGCATATTCTTCCACATTTCTGGGGAGCCGGAGGTCGATGTAGGTTGGGTACAATGAACGTGGTCACTACTTTCTAAATCTGGTTTATTGTTGCTCCTGTGGGTTTTGGTTAGTGTGGTTTGGACTGTGCCCTCACGCTTGCCTTTGGTACCTGGCAGGCAGGGGTGGGTACTGGGCTCGGGGACTCTCACTGCCAATGTGGCCTGGAGCACTCTGGTGCCAAGACATCAGCTCGGTGGCCACAGCTTGTCTACTGGGGAAATAAAATGCAATGTGCATTGTTGAATGACAAAGGAAATGGGGCGGAAAATTAAAGAATCTTTCTACAATGGTGATGGGGACGCGGGCACCCCACAGCTGTGATCTGAAATCCAAAGAGGGTAGGGAGCCCTTGGCTTTTTTTGATAGGACTATTTCCACCCACCTCTCCCTTTCTTCCAAAACACATTTTTGCCTCTTTTCTTAGTTTATCTTCTGTCTGGGAGGGAATATTCTCTTTCTTTGTATCCTCTGGTTATGAAGGAGACTGGAACATTGAGAATTACTAACTGCAGTGGCGAAAGAGAGGATAAAATCCAGATTTCCTTTGCAAGCCGGGATATGTTTGGTCCTAAGTTGTGAACGTTTCCGTTGGCAGGTGCAGATTTTTTTTTACAGCTGCCGTGACTCTTTTTCTTTCTTTCTTTTTCTTTCTTTCTTTTTCTTTTCTTTTTTTTTTTTTTTTTTACGAACTT